CTTGTATCACTATTTTCCAAGTAAAAGACTTGAAATTAAGACACGTTTTTATACTGAACCCTAAATATTTTCTTTTTTTGCTTTATGTTCATCTTACACCAAATAAATTAAAAACCAAAGATTTTTGTGTACCTTTAAAATTCCTCTAATAGTTAATAAATTTCTTAGTAATGCTCCAAAAATAATGACATTTTTAATGAATAATTATACTTTAATCCTTGTATCACTTTGAATCACCATAAGCTTGGATTATTTTCCAAGTAAAAGACTTGAAATTAAGACACTTTTTTATACTGAACCCTAAACATTTTCTTTTTTTGCTTTATGTTCATTCTACACCAAATAAATTAAAAATCTAGCGAAATATTAACAAAGATTTTTTGTATATCTTTGAAATTCCTCTAATAATTAATAAATTTCTTAATAATGCTCCAAAAATAATGACATTTTTAATAAATCATTATACTTTAATCCTTGTATCACTTCGAATCACCATAAACTTGGATTATTTTCCAAGTAAAAGACTTGAAATTAAGACACGTTTTTACACTGACCATTTTCCATTTTGCTTTATGTTCATCCTACACCAAATAAATTAAAAACCTAGCGAAATATTAACAAAGATTTTTGTGTACATCTTTGATATTCCTCTAATAGTTAATAAATTTCTTAATAATGCTCCAAAAATAATGAAATTTTTAATGAATCATAATACTTTAATCCTTGTATCACTTCGAATCACCATAAGCTTGGATTATTTTCCAAGTAAAAGATTTGAAATTAAGACACGTTTTTATACTGAACCCTAAACATTTTCTTTTTTTGCTTTATTTTCATCCTACACCAAATAAATTAAAAACCTAGCGAAATATTAACAAAGATTTTTTGTATATCTTTGAAACTCCTCTAATAGTTAATACATTTCTTAGTAATACTCCAAAAATAACGACATTTTTAATGAATCATTATACTTTAATACTTGTATCACTTCGAATCACCATAAGCTTGGATTATTTTCCAAGTAAAAGATTTGAAATTAAGACACGTTTTTATACTGAACCCTAAACATTTTCTTTTTTTGCTTTATTTTCATCCTACACCAAATAAATTAAAAACCTAGCGAAATATTAACAAAGATTTTTTGAAATTCCTCTAATAGTTAATATATTTCTTAGTAATGCTCCAAAAATAATGATTTTAATGAATACTTTAATCCTTGTATCACTTCGAATCACCATAAGCTTGGATTATTTTCCGAACAGAAGACTTGAAATTAAGACAGAGGAGAAGAGTTTTAAATTAATCATCGGGGGTTTCGTTTTCGAACATTGATACGGTCTTGAATATCATTTATAATTCATCTCCCTTCACTAAACTTCGCTCCAAATTAACGCCGAAGACTAATTTGCATTGGGCATGAAATTTTGATAAAGCCCTCCGAGATTGCGTCAACGGATACAGCCAATTTACACCGACCGACCTTCATGGAGACACATTTCAAATGCTGCTCCAATCAAATTAATCCAAATCAATTTAACATTACAATTCACAATTATACAAATTTTAATTTCAGAATATAAATAAATTTACGTAGCAATTGATGCAACATTTAAGTATGAAGGAGGATTTGCAGAACTCTCTATACCTGCGGTAGCGGCAATGAATGTGTACGTTTGCAAAGCTAATAACTAAATCAGTTTAGGCCGAATGCGGTGCAGCACCTAATTAGCAGATTGAATGCTAATTCATTAGGCAACTGCGGGCGTACAGTTATCTAACAAACGGCCTACGTAATCTAGATCCGAAAAATAGCTATCATTTATTTATAGATTTGATGCGCGAGGATTAGCGGCTTAAATGGAATCGAAAAAATATGTCATTCAAGGATTTAATTTTGATTTGTTAATTAGCGCTCGTGTCGCCCCCCAATACCGTTATTTATTTATTTTTAGTCTTTTTTTTCCTGTAAACTGTAACAAAAATCGCCATTTCTGGGGTATAAAAAGCGCCCTCGAATGTGTGGGATTGTTATCTACCCTTTACGTCCGCAACGCGTAAATTTAATCACTATTTGTACCATCATCATCGGGGCTAACATCAAAAAAAAAACAGAGATTGTAACGTATCCTTTCAATTCGGGGGTTTTGGGATTCGATGCGGGTTGCCGCCGCAATCCTTGCAATAAAACAAAAATCCCGCTTAATTTCCAAAAGCAATCTTGCCGACGAGGGTGGATCTGTGCAGTTGCAATCCAATCAGCGTTAAACGCGCATAGGGGATGAGTAAATAGAAAAAAAATATAGATTTAGATAAATGGATTTGTAGTATATGGATTAAGTAAATATATTATAAGTGAATGGATTAATAATAATAATAATAATAGATATAACGGTGAGGCGTGGGCGCGCTTTTACCATCATCGTTTTGTCCGAGTGATGAATTAGGCCGAGGCTCAGGAGGGTGCAGAAAAGTCGACCAGATTCATTAATAAACAGTGAAAAAAATATTTTGTCGGGCAATTTATCAGCGGTTGAAGAAGAAGAAAAAAAAGCTAGCACAAAACAGGGGTTGTTCATTTTTGACAGGTCATTACAGGAAAAGTGTAAATGCCACGAATTTAGCAGTGGGGTCAGTCGAAAGGTCATTCTTTTATCTTTAATTTGCATATTCGAAGTGATTATATAAATACAAACTTAGTTACAAAATGAGTAAATAGTTGCAGCATGAATTGAATAAGTTTCGCTAATTAATCACTTTTCGCTGAAACGCGTGCACTTGTTTAAAAATGGAAATATACAAAAAAAGGGAAACCCTTAGCTTTTATACGCCATGAACCACTTCCATCTTTCCTTCCATTTCCTATCTTTTTGTTATTTTCTCTCTTGGGGTTGTTCAATTTTGATAGCTTATTATAGGAAAAGTGTAAATGCCACGAATTTAGCAGTGAGGTCAGTTGAAAGGTCATTCTTTTATCTTTAATTTGCATATTCGAAGAGATTATATAAATACAAACTTAGTTGCAAAATGAGTAAATAGTTGCAGCATGAATTGAATAAGTTTCGCTAATTAATCACTTTTCGCTGAAACGCGTGCA